GCTTATATTTTTGGCTGCTTACGAAGATTTTTCAAGCGTGTAAACTGATAATTAAATTTACTAACAGAAACATTATGTGAGCTAAAATATACTAAAATATACCTACTTAGGAACTGTTTATATTTTATAATTTGTATAAATATTAAAAACATGTGTGTGACATAATTTTTAGATGGATATTGTGTATTACACGTAACTAATATTTGGGTTTCGAACTGGACTTTGCAACCACGCGACCACCATTTTATTTCTATACTAGAGAAATTTCAAGGCAAGTCTATCATAAACATACCGGTTGACGGACAGAAGAGAGCCACGGGGAAAAGTATTTAAAGACTTCATTGAAATATTTCAAGAACATGTAGCTTGACAACAGGTCCAAAGTTAATGTCAGAAAAAATCTTTTAACACAAATTTAACTTTAAATTACTTTTAAATTATCTTTTAAAACAAATATAACCTGGTTCTAAGAATAGCAAAGCGTGTATTTTCTGTTGGAAAATCTCTCTGCAAGCACTATATAAGATCAATTTGATTAACACTAATGTCGTAAAGGCAAAATTCTGTGAGTATGTATTTGTAAATAATAAACGACTGGACCAATTTTGATATTTGGTATGGAGGTAGCTGACACCCTGGTTTCACACAGGCCACTCTTTATCCCGAAAAAATGTAGTGTTCCGGTTGGATGACCAAGGCATTGTAAACTGCGGGGGCAGCTTATGATGATATAAATATACAAAAATAGAAAATTTAAGCACCGCGTCATAGTTCCTCCTTCACAGATTCCTATGGCTCGGTATAAATGCGAGCAGATAGGTTTATTAATCACGTCACCTGCCTTAGAATGATTCCAGACTCCAGAGATAGTGATTACACAGATTAAACGGCTACTGGATTTTATTGGAGATACATTGTACCGCGGTTTGTGTTAGTCTATATTTACCGATACGAACTAATCTAAAAACGACGTAGGTATAGTTCCGCCATAATAGCCCTTCTATTTTAAGGTATGCGAGAAGAAACACGGCGGATCAAAACGTGAGCCAAACATTGGCACAATCTTAAAAAAGCAAGTTGACAATTAAAGGAGTTACCTTATGCCAGTTTGAACCACAACAATGTATTTCATCTGACGCATACAACATTTAACTATGCAGTGCCAGTCACATAAAGTACTAATAAAATGATTACATATTGCAATGGTTGAGTCACAACCATTTAAAAGTTTATAACAAGTTCTGGAATAAACATGTTGGTAGTCACGTACCCATTGTAGGGCCCTGGGCAGCTGTGTGTCGATACATGCAGACTTGTTAAACAAAAAGATTATGTGAATATTTAATTTTACTAATGGCTCATGATTAGTGACTATTATCACAGACTTTGTTAAACAAATCTACATTTACTAATATAATATAGCTGAAGACTTTTCTTCTTGTTTTCCTGCAATTAGTGGGGATGATTTCATGAAACGAAAGTGTGTAACAGCAAAAAGAGGAATACAAAATAATTAATAATAATAATACGCACCCGATACCGATGGGACATTATTTTTTACATTTTTAAACATATTTTTTGTATGAATTATAAATATATTTAAATTACTTTTATGTATATTTAATGAAATAAAGAGATTAATAATAATAACGTCTGATCTCAAGCTAGGTAGAGCCTGTGGTAATCAGACTACTGATAAAAATACTTAAATATTTCCAAATACATCAATATTTCATGTAGTCATTTCTTTTAAAATTAGTTGAATTTCTGATTTTAGACATCATACGCGAAAGAATGGGGAACTGAGTCAGACTTGAATGGTTATTTTGCATTGGATATAGTTATCATATGTAATACCACATTCTGGCCTTTACAAACAGAGCAGTGCCGTGAGTGAGATAAATGCAGGTAAAACTAGTCAGTAAGATTCGACGGCCGCATGGCGAAGTGGTTTGTGTAACGCACTGCTACGCCAAAGGTCGCGGGTTCGGTTCCCGCTCAAGTCAAACATTTGTGTACATGAACATTTAACGTTTGATTTTGGGTGTTTTTATGTATAATACTCGTATGTATATTTACAAAATAAAGCTCTGCTTCGTTTGGGACTAGATGGCGTTATATGAATGTGGTAGAATGTCAAATTAAACATGTCAGGGAAATATATTAAAATTTTACACATATTACATATTTAAACATATTACCTTACACATGGTTACAGTCCGATGCAAACTCAATGGCGGCTACGAACATCGTGCGTTTCGATGCGCAGAACACAATAATAGGCAGCAGCGGGACGTAAAGGAGCGCGGGGGCAGGGTGACACACGACACGCATGCCTTTTAGTGTGAGTGAGTTACATCCGTACATTGCACATGCGCGCATATTCCTGTCTACGTACATACAGTCGAGTCGACGTGACTGTAGGTACGTGCGCACACCTGTGTGCGCAGCTAACTTCAGAGCCGCCATTATGTTTGCTCCGGACTATACCTACGTAAGCACACTCATGTTGAGTTCTCAATCCTTAGACTGTACCATTCGTAGGCAAGAGTTCTAATACTTCAGGCCCATCATTTTGTGGTTTTGCATGTAAAAGTAATAAATAAGTGTAAAAAGTTAATTCTTTTCCTCTTAAGCATATTGTACATAGTTAATGTTCATGCCACAGTCACTTTGTCTTGGTTGGCAGTAGGACCCATAACCTGTGGCTTAGTAGTCAGCATATCTATTTAGCAACAGGCCAGCATATTTAATTTAAATAATAAAAACACTAATAAGTTCACACATCTCATACAAGGCAGTCTGATCCAAAACTAAGTAGGGCCAGTGCCATAGTAACTACGCTGGTTAACACACTTGAACATTTCGAAATACAGACACAAAATTACAGTTACAACCTTACACAGAACAAATAATTACGCTGATCATACAATTATTTGTCCTAGGTGGGAATCAAACCCAAAATGTATTGAGCTGTCACCTATTAGCATGCATGCATATCATCTGTTTATAATCTCAATATCTTCACTCTTATTTACTTATATACATACTTCTTCTACCTAAATTTTGCACATTATTATAAATTATGTATTTTATAGTAATAGTATTTATTCTTTTATCTATTTTATCCTCTACTATATTGTAATAAAAGCAGTATACTTATTACAATGCATATCTCATTTGTATCATCGTAATTCAACTTGATGCCCTTAGCTACAAGTCAGATAACAAAAATAAGTAATTTATTTAACACCTGCAATACTGCTATGCTAAAATAAACTCATCCCGAACAGGCATTAACTTATTAAGGATTGAGAACCATTAGTATTGGTTATAATTTACTGTATAATAAAACTAAAAGACATATATCATTTGAAAACCATATTTCGGCACATCTAAATTGGTTCCGTGACAGAGAGTAATAGTGCGGCCAGACATAAAATTTGTGTTAAACAATTTTTTTGTTGCTTTTTAGTGAGTGGGGTACTGGAGGTTCAACATGACTTAAAAAGTGAGTCTCAACTCAAGTAGTTGCATAGCTTACTTATAAACTATATTTATTTATTTATTTATTGGATCTCCAACAAAGGATATACACAGAAGTGCATATAATACACACTTAGTTTTTTGAATAGTGTACTCCTTCAGTTATAGGAGACCACAGCATGCAATAGAATATCCAAACTTATACCTAATACAAAACTAATTCAAAAGTAACATAGTGAGAAAACCTCCTAAATAACATTAAATATGACAAAATATAGATGAACTATATGTTTTGTGGGGTTTTCTGTAGGTAGATAGAACCATCAGAACTGTATGGTAGTAGGAAATAGGATTGGCAAACACATTAATGTCAAGAATGGTCTCCCAACTATTTAGAGGTAACCTGGTTGTAAAAAAAATAGTTTCCATTTCTTAATCAGACTGTAAACATATTTTTTTAGGTTATGTTACTAACAACATTTTAATTTTATGTAAGGTAGAATCAATATTTAACACTTATACTTGATTCCGATGTATATACATTATAGATAAAATGTTATTTTCTATAATGTTAATTTATCTTTTATAATGTAAAGCTTTTAAAATAAAAATTATTTGTACTCACAAACTATATAAAACTTTCTAGTGTTATTTAATGTTACTATGTCTTTAAATAAACAAAACTAAACGTCTAAATCATATACGGCTTCAAAAAGTAATAATTATAAATGAGTCCATTAAGAAAATCACTTTTTTTGTCTAATTACAACCACTTACCTTCGGCTTCGTCTTTTGCTTTAGGTTTCGACATCGGTAATACTGTCACTAAGTACAGTCTTAATAAACACTATGTTTTGTTCCAAATATGTTTCTTTAATAAACAAATTTACAATAAGTTCTAGTATTGAATCTAGAAACAAACAAAATTTTAATCAGCTGTTTCTGCCATTTTCTGTACGTCACATTTGACATTTCATTTAGTTCAGTTCATTATGTTGGATAATCTTTTTCGTTTTGTTATTTAGATATTTTAACGATGTTTTCACGTTAGTCTTAAGTACAATTGACTTTTAAGTTTTACATTAACAATATAGAATTTCTATATAAAATTATTGATTAAGTGAAAAAAATAACACAAGTCAACTTTTAGCTTTAAGAAAATATAGTTTAGTTATTGCTAAATGCACATCAGGAAAGATGATTGTGTATTTGTACCAACAAAATAAGAAGCAACCTATCAACACGAAGTGCCGAGCAGCGTCTCTTGGTTGCGACATGCCAATTGTCATTTGATTTTGATTAATTTCAGATTTGAAATCACTTTATTTACGTTTCGTTTAAAATTTCAAACGCGGGTAAATTTAATTGTTGTGTTGATGTATTTGATTAATAATTGAGTTAGTAGATTGATATTTTAAAAAAATCGTTTTATTTGCAGATCAACTCAAGAATGTGGAACTGACCACAACTCATCAAGAGTCTTTTACGAATTTTTAATTTTAAACTTCTTCACCATGTCGAACGCTGTTGTGGAGAACGGCGTTAACGAAGATCGGTAAATACTGTGCATATAATTATTTTATACGTAAGAGCTAAAGTCCTATTTAGAGTTTTATTGATTTTGATTACGCCGAAACGACATCTACAGTGCATTCTCTCCTCGTGTTTATTATTGTTATTTTATTATTTTAAAACACTGCCCCCCGTGCGTTAGATACGCACAACGGGGGAAAGTGTTTCGGGTGTGAATTTCATTATAAATGGAATATATTTAAAAAGGACTCTAAAGAATTACACCCTAAAGTAAATGCCATGACTGCCATGTGCAATGACATTTTTTTCATGCACCGCTCGCGTCATAAGTGCTCGCTGCGCGCTCCTTGACGCAGTCTTCCGTCCCTGTGCATTGTATACGGAAGATGGCGTGCGTAACGCACATCACGTCCGTCACATGCACAGAGTGCTATGTTCACTATGAAATGAGTTAAGGCCCTAGTCGTCCTAATTTTCTTAAAGAGACTGCTTTCCCTCGTACACAGTAATATTATGATATATTCATGAAAATAATTAATATTAGATTGTTCTGAATTACTTACATTATTGCAATTGCATTGCAAATGCTCTGTACCCTCTAACTTATTTAAGTATTTTGTTGTTGTTATAACTGGCTCTACTAAAATTAGAAATAAAAATAATGCTTTCTCAGGAAAATATTTTTAAATAATTTGAATAGATGTACAACACTTACTAACAAGATTTAACTTCTACTTTTAGATCAAAAATGTTGCCTAGCTACAGTTCAGCAATATATGGGTACTAATTTATTTTTCAAAGTTGTTAGATAATTTGTAGTTGTTAGATTGTACATCATTACCCTAATCATTTATAGTATAGCCAACAGCCAAACACCCTGATTTCTATTTTTTTCTATTACTTAAAATCACATCACATCTGTAATTAGATCTAAAACAATAAATGATACTAGTGGAAGTTGAAGAACCTACATTGCTCTTAATTGTAGACTGATGCAAAATATTTAAATTCAATTATTGTTTTATTTCAAACATGAACATGAATTGAATTAATGAATATGTATATCATTTTTCAGATCAACAACATACTATTTTCCAACGAGTGGATCAAGTGCCACATTATGGCAACGGCTGAGCTTGTTTGTGTCTATATACTGGAAGGCACTTATAGTAGTGTTTACACCAATTTTGCTACTACCTATACCTCTTATGCACCATGAGCCAGTAAGTATCTACAATCACAATTATTATTTTTTATGTTAGTGGTGGCAGATGAGCAGTTGGGTCAGTTGATGGCAAGTGACTATCGCCGCCCATGACCGTCTGCAACACAAGAGTCATAAACGCGTTGCCAGTCTTTTAGGAAGGAGTATGCTCTTTTCTTAAATATTGCAGACGAAAAAACTCTATTTCGGAAGCTGCAGGGCCTTAAAATAAATTATAATTAATATTCTGAGTTCAACTGTCTTTTAAAACTTTAAAATTCTTACATATTGAATTTCACTGTCATTGCAATATAATTAATTATGATTTTTCCCAAACTACCTAAAATTTTGTATTTTACTTACAGTTTTCTTTACTTTTAATATTATTATTAAGACCATACTAGCAAATGCCTTGGCATAAAGAATTATAAAAAAGTCAACAGTAGGTAGATATTTTTCAAAATATTCTGACGAAAATTCGATCTGAAATTAATTGTTAAAGTTTTAAAAATTAAATTCTAGTTGTGAGTTTTTCTATTTACTTTCCATGTAAATGATAAAATATTTAGTTACAAAACATTGCTTTCTATGGTTGGTTCCATGGTTTTTGTTGTATTTACAGTATAGCATGTGCCATGTTAATGATCTTAGACTTGAGAAAGCTCTTCATTTCTGTATATTATTTTTTAGTACTAAGAAATGTAAGTTTGGCATTCCAACTATACCATGGTTTGCTGTTCTCACCACCAGTAGACCATATATTCGCAGCTTTGAAGATCTCACTTCCGTCATTAATCAGTATAAAGGCATCACAGATTGCAATATTTATTATAGTAAGGAGAGGAATAAGAGCAAGCAAGAGGAAAACGCACTAAGATTATAAGCTAGGCTCTGTGAAAAATTATGTCGCCACATACAATATCACAAAAATGTACTATCATTAACTTATTATGTCGCCCTACGTATTATTCAAGATATAATATGCAGAATACTTCACAATATTTAAAGCTATATATGATATAAACACACAAAATGATAATTTCGTTTAATTGTCATGACACCATTGTCACCACCTGAGCAAAATTTCTCAAGAGGACAAAGCTAAACTTCTTTTCCATAGTCCTGCGTATAGTCAACATAGGAATCTATTTAGATATCGTCGGTGCCCTTAAAGTGTTACTGGAATATTCAAAAATTTATACTAATATTAAAAAATGTATTTTTCCAGGCCTATAGATGCATGTATGTTGTGCTGATAATGGCGATATTCTGGGTATTGGAACTCCTGCCTTTACCAGTTACATCTATGCTGCCAATTGTACTTTTCCCTACTATGGGCATTCTGGACTCCGATAAAACTTGTGCAGCATATATGAAGGAAACTAATATGATGTTCATGGGAGGTTTGATGATAGCTGCTGGAGTGCAACATTCAAGATTGCCCAAACGAGTCGCATTATGGACTGTACAAGTTGTTGGTTGTTCACATCGAAGGTAAGAATATTTTCTCCATTTACGATGTAAATGGATACACCTTCTCTGCTTTCTTACCTAGAATTTTGGATACACAAATCACACTCTTCGATTTTATCCCTTACGAAGTGCAACCCTTACCCTCGGGTAAGAGATTACAGATTTACACTTTAAGATTTTTGAAGGACTATTTTTTTTCTTTAAAAGACAACTCCCGCATTAGGAATATATCCTGTGTCGCGGGAGCTTTACAAATATGCGTGAAACGGACACAAAGAACACCCAGACTCAGAACGACAATTTGTGGATCACACACAGTGTCGTTCCATGTGGGATCCCCAAAACCCACAACACTCAGCGTAGTAGGAAGCGGCGTGGCGACCGCTTAAACCACTATGCCATCCGTGCAGTCACTTAACCGTAATTTATGAAAACTGAACAACCCTCCAAAAAATATTCGAAACAAACTTCTCTACTCTTCTAGATTGAACTTCGGACTTACATTCGTCACCATGTTCATCTCTATGTGGGTATCAAACGCTGCCGCTACTACGATGATGGTACCCATCGTAGAAGCCATATTGGAAGTACTTGAACAGGTAAGCACATTTGATAGCAAAAGTAACATGCTGTTTCAATCTTATTAATTTCTTTTAGTAGTTCTTTAGGGTAGAGGTTTTCATTTTTGCTTTCTTCTTATTAGCAGTTTGTAACTAGGTAGGTAAGTTTATTTAAGTACGTCCTTAATAAATGACATTATATTAACGTATCTATGTATTGCACATTAATTTTTAATTATACCTACCGGATGTGTGTCTCATAACATGACTGAAAAGTGTTTATTTGATGAACGCGCCAAAATTTATGTATTTCATAGCCCTATTCTTGTGGATGTCTTTAACTTTATAATTTCTTTTTTAAAAGTTTACTAGCAACTGAAATTACTAGTATTCCCGTTAACCCCTCCAGCTAAGCTAACTTGCTTATGTTAGAAGTGGGTTCACGTCGGTAGTGTACTGGCCAGGATTCGAAACCACGACCTCTTGATCGCAAGACCAATGCCTTAAGCACTAGGCTACCGCCACTTCCCTTTAATAAATTATTTATTGAAGGAAGAACAAAGGAAATTAACGTAGTTTTAATTTGTATTTTTTTTACATTGTAGCAAGGCCTTGGGGACGTATATGTGAATAGAAAGAGGAATGCACCAGCTGAAAATGGCAAATCAGATACCAAAGCTGTAGCGAAAGCTGCTGTAGAAGAAGAGTAAGTATCTCATGTCGGTAACGGTAACAGTGTCGCAAGTTCAATGGTTTTTTTCCCCGTAAAATACATTCTTTGTTTGTTGTTCAAAAATGCATAACGCGCCTAAAGAAGTTTTCACTTCAAAAATCACACCCTTAACAAACAAAAAAAATAACGAAAACAAATATTGGCTGTCCTGATTGATTTTACTTTACGTTAATAACTTGGATAAAAATACTCGTAACACCATGAGTTTCGAAACATTAATTGATAGCAGACTATGAATAACAATGTTTTTACGAAAATCCTCTGTATACCAAGTAAATATCTTACAATACACATACTCTCAAGCTTGCTAAAGGATATACCGCCATAGATGTATCCTTTAGTAAGTAGTTTAGTATCCTCTCCATGGCTGGTAGTGAAAGATGTTTTACCGCTGTCGCATCCTTCTGCGAGGTGATGTCTTCGCAGAAAGATGGGACGCGGCGGCGGAGAGTGCCCGGGAGGATGATCGGGTCCGGAACCGGTGGCGGAGGCGCGCTTACCAGCGCCTGGTTTTCCCCTCCACCCGCCATAACGGACAGCTGCGAGGAGGGACGTCGCCTTAATAGAGAATGTACCCGAAGCCCTATGTTAATCATGCAGTGCCCGCGTCGTTGCGGGCAGGCGCTAGGAGGGGTCCGGATGTCTTAATAACAGCAGTTCCCGGATCCCTCCTATTAGAGGCGCAGAGTGGCACACCGTGTGGTTTTAGTCGGTTTAATGCCAAAACACCACCCTGATGTATTTTCAAATAATATTCGGTGTTCTGATAATCTACCATAGCTCCGCATAATTTGGCATCAGACAGCCATCTCTTAAGTTAATATTAATTAAATTTGTACTTTTTCATTCTATTACTAATCATAATGTTTATTTTTAGACCTCCAATGCCGAGTGACATCACTATTTGCTACTATCTTAGCATTGCTTACGCGTCGACTCTTGGTGGTTCTGGAACCCTCGTCGGTACCGCCACCAACTCTGCTTTCAAAGGAATATTTGATTCGTAAGTATTATTTAGAATTTGAATATTTAGTTCTTATAGTGACATTTTCTTAATGAATGTGTAGAACTTCTATTTTTGATATGTTGTTAAATATCTTATTAAGAATTCCGGTATTGTACTTGTCTTCGATGTATTAACATTCAGTAGATAATTTATACAATGCAAATGCAACAAACTGCAAGATTCATATCCAAGTTCTTAAAAACCAGATAATATTTTATCAGAATTTAAACAATATATTCCACATTTTCCTTTTAAGAAGGAGTCTTTAAAAATGTATAATTGACATTTTTAATAAGTAAGTAAAATATAACTGATACAGATGAATTTTCACAGATTTGTCTTTTTGTTATAAATTTACACTAGCTGACCGACCTGCGGATTAAGAGTACGTAGTGTCACCACCTTATTCATCCCGTGGGTGTCGTAAGAGCCAATTAAGGGAGCTAATCACGCATAACAACATAACTACAAAGAGAAGGAAAACTTGAAATAAGGCCTATACCAACCCTGGCCAGCATGGTATAGTAGGCCAAAACCTCCTTCCTAAGGAGAGGCCAGCAGTGTCCAGCAGTGGACTGCTAAAGGATTTGATGATGATGACTAGCTGACCCTCACAGATTCGTTTGCCTCTCTAAGTAGGAATAAATGTCCCCCGTTTTACTACCTATTTAATTGATACTCGGTTCTCATTGGCCGAAGCGTGATGTTATATAGCCGGTAGCCTTCCTCGATAAATGAGCTATCCAACAACAATTTTTCAATTAGAACCAGCAGTTCCTGAGACAAACAAATTTTTAGCTTAACCATATGAATATAAATAGGTCTGGCCCCTGACACTCGCACTATTTTTTTTTTAATACTTGTAAATAACCAACGAAGAAAACTAAGAAATTGTATTTTTTACAGCGAATTTCCCGAATACTCAAGCCAAGTGAACTTCTTCTGGTTCATGGCGTACAGTACACCGCCTATGTTAATCATGCAGTTCTTGGTTTGGCTCGCACTGCAGGTCACCTTCATGGGCTTGTTCAGGTTAGTAGCTGTTTATCAATAGACGCGCCTGTTGGTTTAGTAGTCAGTGACTAGTAATGAGCATTAATGATAATTAGATTTATTTTATTAATTATGAATTCTTATGTCTTAATTTAGTAATAATAATTTTACATAAATATCTTATTTGTATTAAATTTTAATTCACTGCGATTTTCGCTGTCAAAAGTGGCTGCTATTTCATTTACTCCAAGAGAGATTAATGAGAATAAAGAATAAACAAGAAATAATGCAATTTAAGGGTTTGTTCGTGATATGCTAGCATTCGTCAATTCGTCACTTAACACTACCTATTTACAAAAATACCCCTATCTATTCACAAAATACCTATTTACAACGTACACGTCACACTCTTCAAAACTTAAATTACCTGTACCTACTCTATAATTAAACTTCTTGTTACGAAGGTTTGTTTCAAGTTTTCCTTCTCTTTGCAGTGTTGTCTTGCGTAGTTTTCTCCCTTAGTCGACAACACACACATAATACTCGTAACAAATACTATGTAGTAGTGATGGTATAATTATTTTTTACATTCATATTTAATTGCAAATTCTTAATTAGCATTTAGCAGTCACCAAATTAATTGTAGTCGTGATATTTCGTGAACCTATGAATTAATACGTACCTACACGTCACACTCTTCAAAACTTAATTGCCTATACCTACTATATTATTAAACTTCTTATTAACAAATACTACATAGGTACCAATTCTATGGACAACTTTAAACAATTACCAACTACAATTAAGGTGCTAACTGCTAATTAAGAATTCACTATTAAATATGAGTGTGAAGACTAGTGACTATCACTATTAGTGACCCTGACTCCCTAAGTCGAAGGTCGTGGATTCGTTTCCCACCCAGGCCAAATATTTGTGTGATTGTGTGAGCACGATTATTTGTTCTGTCTTAAGTCTACTGTTTAATGATGTCTGTTATATTTGTTCTGCTAAAAAGTTCCCTGTTTTTGTGCGGAAATCCCCACCTTAATCTCAAACCATTAACGGCTTATAGAGTACCCCTCGTATGTAGGCACCACGGTATCCTCGTCTTGCCATAAAAGGGCCTCGCGCTTTGCTCCTAAGTTAAATCTTTGGACCAGGAGCAATTTATTTACCCCTGAGAACAGTATGTAAATTTCAAAAGATGTTTCAATTCAAAAAGATGATCAGGCGACTACTTAGTTAAGGCGTGATTACGCTAACAAACACACTCATATCTATAATACTAGTGTGGTTTGTATTTAGACACATTATTCTGATAGCTGAACATTGCCTTACAGACCGAACAGCGAAGCGGCTAAGAAAGTGAACAATGCTTCATCAGGCTCTGAAACGACAATGAAAGTCATCAAGGAGCAGTACAGGAGCCTTGGACCTATCACCTTCCACGAAAAGGTATGTTTGCATTAAACTAAGAGATAGTGTACGTATTTACTTACTTGTATAATTCGATGACTATTTTTTAAATGCTGTGATGCTTGATTATTATAAAAATATACGACGTCTTGTTGCAGGCTTCCGGTATCTTATTTATCTTGGCTGTATTCCTGTATATCTTTCGTCATCCTGGATTCATGGACGGTTGGGCTGATGTCCTTACTACCATGTAAGTATTTTGACTACAAACATTTCTTTTGAATGCCTAATTTCAATTTTCGTTAAATTTACGCGTCCTCAAAACGCCAATAAAATTTGAGCCTTAGAGTAAGTAATACATAATATAACATAATATAATCGCCTGGCCAACTTAGTAACTTTTTATTTTTATTTTGTTTGTAGGAAAGTGAAAGATGGAGTGACGTCAATGTTCATCGTGATACTTATGTTCATTTTGCCCATGAGCTGTGACTTTATTAAGTTCTTCTCCAGTTCTTCGTCATGTAAGTCACTGTTTAGTTAAAATATTGTGTGTACCTCTCATGTGATAAGAAGGAAAGGGCATCACACAAGATTGTAGTTCAACCTTACATAGAAATGCAATATAATAAAAAAATCTCAACTCTCTTAGTCATCTGTATTTGTCATCTATTTTTAATGTTTTAAAGAGTGTAATATAAGTTTTTATGTAAAATTGTCGGTTTGGTGACGGATTGAGAATAGTTATTATTCTAGTATTCCTTATTCATCTCGTGGGTGTCGTAAGAGCCGACTAAGGGAGCAAACTACGAAGGACAACAGTTCTGCAAAGAGAGGGAAAACTCAAAACAAACCCTATAACTACTTGTCTGGCATGCGTGGTATAGTATTCCTTGTTTCTAAGGAGAGGCCTATGTCCAGCAGTGGACAATTAAAGGCTGTCGATGATGATGATGAAAAACAAAATTGTACTTTTTGTGTTCAATCTCCCTGCAGGTGGAAACGATAGGTTCTTAACAACCTCTCCAGGCATTGCTAGTAATCTTATAAGCCAGTACAAAACCATCACCTTAGCCTTCTATTAATTTTGAGGTATTTCCTAGTTTTACGAGATATTTGTACTGCTGAGAGCTGTACCCTGCCACTAGCTTCGCTGTGGCAGTTTGTGGTTGCGTTGTTGTGAAATGAGGAACAAACCTGATGCGAAAAATATATGATAACAATTTTTGAAGCGGTTTGTTTGTCACATCAAAATTTCAGCTTAATCAATGCAATACTTTTTGAGTTTTTAAAACCATCTTAACATTTTTATATACTTAGATTTCTACAGGACAAACAGCAAATCAAGTTGGTCAACTATAAAATAATGGCATCAAGGTATTCATCGCTAATGTGTATATAAACGTGTGGTTTTTTTTTTTCAGATGAAGAATTGGCCGCGTCTAAGCCCTCGCCTGGTATTGTAACCTGGGGCATTTTAAAGGAGAAAATTCCATGGGGTCTGCTCTTCTTACTTGGTAAGCTTCTATATTATTTTGTTTTTTTGGAACGAAGTTCCTTATCGCGCGTTGTGAAAGGGGGCTAGACGGAAAAAATTCGTACGAAAATTTGTCACGACACTTTTTAATATAAATTGACGTCTAACTGTGGATACCATACATTAAATTTGCTTCAACGTTCGCCAACGTCCATACCATGTTGAATACACCGGTTCTCGTCCGATCACCGAAGTTAAGCAACATCGGGCGTGGTTAGCACTTGGATGGGTGACCGCCTGGGAATACCACGTGATGTTGGCTTTTTGCTCTTTATTTTCGTGTCATCTTGTCAGACATTCAGCGCGATCTATCGAATAGATAGGAAATCATTTCGCAAGGTGATTTTACCAATGTATAAATTGTTTTATTTGTTTTTAATATGTAGGTAATAGCCGCTTTCATAGATGGCGTTGTAATTAAAATCGTGTCAAATCAGTTTTACTCGATCGTCACAACTTCGTTCCTATCGGGTGTCCCACGACACCACACGGCTTTTTTTTTATTATTATCACTTTATTTGACTTACAAAATTGAAAGATGAAAGAAATTATTATTATTATAAAAAAATATTTATTTTTATTAAGAAATGTAATTATACTGCTTTTGGCACGAAATTGCATGATACTCTTGAAATATGGTGACTAGAGGTTTTAGAAACGTCGGCCATATAATCTGTCTTTATCACACTAACAATTTTATCAAACGCCCTTCTGGTATAAACACAGTAATTATATACATATATGTATAAAACACAATATTCTTTATATACATTTGTTTTGTTTGAACAGGTGGTGGCTTCGCCCTCGCCGAAGGCAGCAAAGCGACGGGACTGTCCGCCATGATAGGCTCGTCCCTGGAAGGTCTGCGGGGTCTGAACCATGCCATCGTGCTTCTTGTAGTGGTTCTCGTCACACAGTTCATCACTGAGTTCACTTCCAATGTCGCCATCGCCAATTTAATCTTACCTGTCCTTGCTAATATGGTACGTATTTCTGTGAAGGCATCTAGCCTGTTGTACGCGACCAGCGAAGTAAAGCAACTTAAGTAATCTAGTTATACTAGGGTAGTTTCGTATTTCTATGAATAAGTAAGTTCTTTGGAGCTCCATGGGAAAAGATAAAATTTGGTAAACTGTAAATGATATCTTTCGTATAGTTTTGTGTCAAATAATGTAGATAATCTATGAAACAAGCCTATTATATATGTAGGCATACAATGTAAGTTTCCAATTTAAATTTAGATAGTAAGATTTTTGATTATTAAGTGGTTGGTGATGGCTGACAAACCATAGCATGCGTACTGTCAATAGTTACATAGATCCTGAGATCCTGATCCAAGACATAGCAACCATACTCAATAGCCATATTGTGTTACTTAAGCTTAGGTTTGCCTATCATAGACGACTTAATAATTAACAAATTTTTTGTTAATTTATTTTTACAGGCTCGCGTACTAAACATCGATCCTAGGTACCTGATGATCCCTGCCACACTGGCGTGCTCAATGGCCTTCCACATGCCAGTAGGAACTCCCCCCAACGCCATTGTAGCTGGCGTTGCACACATACCCACTTCTAAAATGGTAAGTCAGTAATTCATACATAAATATAAAAAAACAAACTACACTACTTCATGCACCCGTTGGCATCATGATTGAACTTACAAGCACCACTACGCCATCATAAAATTCAAAGAAGTCATGTAAGGGTATAGTTAGTACAAACAATTGTTTATTGATGAAAGCAAGCTGGTTTCTATAATACACTTAAGTTATTACTTTATAATTTAATATAGTTAATATCTCTGTGGTTACGAAATTTTGTTCAATGCTCGACTTAAGGAGAATCGGGTTATTGGTGTTAAAATCTTTAAACCATCATATTTTTTGTCTTACATTAAACACTGACCGTTTTGAATTGTTTTGCTGTAGTTTTTAGCTAAATCTTTTTGTTTCAGGCTGTCGGTGGTATAGGCCCGAAACTCATTACCACGCTCATCGTATGGGGCGCTTACCCCACGTGGGGATCAGTTATCTTCCCACCAATAGCCCCCACGGAAAACTCAACTCCTCTCATCCGCAACGCCACAGCTCTGGCCGAACACAACATCACACTTGCATGCAATAGCACATATAATGCCATTTCTAGTATAGCCAACATAGTCTGTAAGGCCCCTCAAAATATAAACGGTACTTCGGGCGTATTTTCATGTAATTACCAACCTTTTTTAAAGTAATAAACAAATAAAGGCCATCGGAATTGATAGGCCATTATGCTTAATATTTTGTAATGAAAATGTGGGTATTGGAAAATATGTAGGGGAACATACTCCGGTTGCATTTTAAGCATTTTTTAATTAGTGGACAGACAGACAGACAGACCCTCATGGATTAGCGACCGGATTTCTTATGTCCCGCTGCTGCGTTGACGATATTTTTTGGTATTAATTAATTATAATTGTGATAGTATAACAACATAGCATAACTCCATCTACCATCTCTGTCTCTGTTTAAAGATATTTGTGGTGCAATCTCAATTTTAATGTATTAAAAAAATTGTAAAAATAATTTACACTTTTAAATCGAATGTTTACATAATACAAAACGTATATTCGAGTAATCGGTGTATTTTCAACTACATAGAGTTTTGATAGAATTTACTTAAATTATTAAATTTAAATTGTACACTTATTATAATATTTAAACTAGAATTTAAAAACTTGTAACTTATTACAGTGAAGCCTCGATATGACAAAGCTGAAGGGTATAAGAATATTTAATATTATAGCCAACGATTTTCACTAGGAAAGTTAAAGAACTTTCGTTCTGCAGCAATTGCAACGATAAATTGTCCAACAACAGTAACGAACTGCTGTGTTTTAATATAAAACACTTTATTAAATTTAAATAGACCAATAGTGTCTAACCGTGTCGAGAAGTAAACTCTTTTAGAATCTCTTACATTGATGTAGTACGTTATGACCTTATTTATACTTCAAATTCCGAAATTAATAAAATTTCATTTTTAAGGGGTTTTTTACCAAGGGTATTCGTAATATAAAGTATAATTTGAAATAACTGTTATGGGCTATTCTAGGGGATTCCGTAAAAGTACTTAGTTAAATCTTGAAAACCGTAATATTAAGGTTTCACTGTATTATTTAGTTAACATTTGCTATTCTGTTCTGTATGAGCTTTGATATGATTCATACAGGATGGAATTAGAACCCAGAACAGCCTTTCTAAATATAAATAAATATATATTTTATAATAGAGTTTTGTACCAAATGTATAAGAATTCAGCATTTATGTATGTATGTGATGTTAGTCGACCAACCGGCTAAGTGCAGTGCCAATATTTATACATACTGATTTATATTTGAAATACTATTAATCTGACTGTCTATTGAATAAAAAATTGAAGCCGTATTCGGAGGTTAACAACTAGTTTTTGAAAGATATTTATTCAATATTATTTCGCTTTACTTGTAACGACAGTTGCCAATAATAAGTGCCTAATTGAAGCTCGAGTCGTACCGGGACAATAATATAAATATTTGTAGTAGTTAAATTGTACACCCCCTTAGTGGGCGGGAATTGTGGTACCGCAATTTTACCTAGACGACTGAGGAGCTATGCATGTGCAAAATCACTCAGATATATTTTATTTATCCAATATAATGTGTATTTCAAATGTTTAATATTAATGTCTTCATAGGAAGTTCCTAGTTTTAGAGTTGTGTAATTAACTTGTGTGATTTTAAAAGTGTATGTTGCCATTCTTCAAATTCAACTCTTTTGCAGAATGGTGAAAATCTGTTATTTACTAAGAGAGTCTTGATAATAATTTATTTTTGGAATTTGTTTTATATGAAATATTCCAGTGTGCTTACCAAAAATCTAATATTAGGACTCGCTTAGCTGCCTACATGCAAGAATATGAACAAAATATTTGTTCGTACAAAGGGAAATGTGATGCATTTTATGTGTGTTTAAAGTGCAAATTAGTTGTAGTCTGTATTACTGAGTAGGTATTATGTGATTGATTGCGTACATTAAAATGAGATGGACACCGTAGTTCTGATATGAAAAAGAACTAAAAATGACTACTTCAATCAGAATATTGGCTTGTTTTAATATTACTTGAAGACAGCCTGATTTCGTAACTGAATATAATGTTATTAGTTTATTACACGCTAATCTTTTTTTCAAGTTTATAACATACATGTCCCTAATCACCGAAAAGGTAACGCTGTATTTTGACCTTTAAAATGTAATTTGGATATGAGATACGGAAGCGATTACAGTTTAAAACATGTTGATCATCAACGATACATTAAATTCCTATTTTTACTATATTTAAGTAGAATTACGTTTACTTGTTTGGGATAATTATGGCTGGTTTGAAGAGCACAAAATTAGAAATTAATCATTTAATGGCAATAGATTTAAAATGCCATTATTGTTGTATTGTACATTTTAGTAGAAATTTTACCATACCATACCCTGGTAGAAAATTTTATATTTTTACTTACGATAAACAGATGGAAGCATTGATTCATATAAAACAACTAGAATCGAATAAATCATTACCAGATAGTCACATACATTCAATAAAGAAATTCAGAGTTGATAACACCACCCTTTTTAACTGTGAAAGTCAAGTGATGACGTCACAACGACAAAGAGTATGCTTGTGGTTTTTAAATGAATTTACATACATATGTAAGTATTGGTCTTGTATCACTATTTGATTCCTAAAATTCCTTTGATTGCTAAAAGAATTTAATAGAAGACAAACAACTGGTTGTTACAATATCAGGTAAAAATTAAATTCTTGTAAATCTTTCAAAGTGAACTGCAGCTATTTCACCTTAGCATACATTAAAACATTTTACGAGCCTTGGGTGCACTTATCGTTCATATTGGATATATAAAACTGTAATTGCATACCGTTTTTATTGATGATATTCGCCATAAATTCAATAACAAAAATTAATATATTATAAAATATCCAATTTAAAAAAATAACTCGTATTTTTGTATCCGTATATAAATAGTGAAAGGGTTGTGATTGTTAGTTTTTGTCACAAATTGTACTGTTATATAGTAAATAGTTGGTTCTACATTAAATTAGTAAATAAGATAGACATTATCGGCGATAATACTAAGTAACTCCTGTTGCATTGAAGACCTATTAGCTGATAAAGAATACGACTCCAGGAATTACGGCCCTAAATAATTCATTGATTTATTATAATTTTAATTGATTAATTTAAAACCATATTATATATTAAAAACATATATTTTTTTCGGTTTCTAGTTAAATGTGCCATAAGTTTGATGATGGGCCAAGTTACCTATAAATTTTGTGGGTTTCTTTTCTCTCAATTGTAAACCGATCCAGAATTAACGATATTATAATATTATGTGTCAAGTTTGGCTATGTCCTAAAAGAACAATGTAGAACCAATACTAAACATTTATTGTACGTAATATGCTCATTTTGTAAATAGTGGGAGGATGGAATGGTATTGTTAAATAAATATGTTGGAAATCGTACATTTGTGTTTATTCTTATTTTACTCTTAAGTTTTCGTAGAAAGTCTAACAATCAGTAGTTTGAACGTTATTCTGTCTAAATCTTTTGAACTCCTGTCTGCCATTCAATTTGGTTTTCGTTTAGCATTGAAGCATGATTACACAGCTATTTTACATTATTACACGAAATTTACATTATTACATACTGATATGTTTATAAATACTAGAGATTGCCTTGCGGCCGAATCGAATGATGAACCGTTATAATTGGCTTGTTTAGCCATGCGCCATATTTGCTTACTGAATGAATATGTATAAAAATATTTATGAAAAGTGATAATTTTGTTTTTGAAAAATTCATCTACAAACATAACACCAAAGCAAATATGGTACCACCGCGCTATTAAGGTCATAACATTTGCATAAAATCTTCACCAAAAGAAAACGACAAGCGTAACTGTCTAAGCTACTTAAGTATGTTTATTAATCATTTTAAATATATTAATGTCAGCCCACTGAGGGTATAGGTTGATGTCCGTCCAAATGGCAGTGGACCATATAGCGACTGTAAACCACACCACTACTACGGCGATCACCGATGGCCCGAGACCTGCACTCATCTACAAGAAATAATAAAATGTTAGTTATTGAAATTAAAAACATTTAAAAACTACCTACCGAAAATTAAGAGAAATGTATACGTTTTTCGTGTTTTTTAATCCGGGAATAAAAATTTCATCTTATTCCTTTAGCATAAAGTTGAAAATCGTACACCGTATCCAAAAGTGCTACTATTTTGCACTCAATCTGATTTGATACTTATGAAGTTTATATTATGTAAAATGAGTAATAATTGTCGTGGGCGTAATCTTTTATTTAATTCACATTATATAGCACCGAATTGGATTCGACTTCGAACAATAATATTATCAAGAGTACATAACTTGGCAATTACCCGTACTCACCATTCTCCAAGGCGGGATATGCGCATATGAACACACCATAGCGTTAACGGCAGCTCCTGTCACCAGGTGAAACGATAAACAGCTGCCGAGGGTGACGGCCAACATCATGTAGTGAGGGTTGATGTCACATACGATACTCTATACGCAATTAAGAAGTTTTTAAAATTTCCCAAAAAAATGAAAAGTATAAAAACCAAGGGGACTTTTAAATACAGACTGTTCTTACAACTTTCTGGCTGCTTTATGTTGTGAGTTCTGGAGTGACTACTTGAAGAAAAATGTTGTAAGGACTAGCGTAGATAATACTGAGCATTGATAATTGGGTGGATATTTATCATTTTTAACAGTTAGAGTTTGCATAACTTAGGCGAATTGCAAACGCATATGCCATGATTGCTGATACGATTAAAACTATAAAAATCTAATTCTCTTAAACAATTTGAATACTCGAACTTAGAGAAAATATTTTTTATTGTACTCGTATAAATAGGAAATCAAAAGTAGTTAGTACAGAGTTTGAGTTGTCTCCGCTAGGCGATGGTGTCGTAGGTTTTGTTATAATGTAAAAGTCACCACATAGCATATGGACGTATAGTAAATATGTAAACCGTTTTAATTAAATATGTAATCATTACCATCTTTGCAACGCTAGGCAGTAGACCATAAACAACGACAGAGCTAGAAGCAAACTCTGTAAGAATCTTACAGAAGAACACGGTGACAAATATAGTGGCTGTTAGAGGCAAGTTAGCGAAATGTAAGAAGAAAGCCTCGAACTCGTCTGTCATTCCAGAATCTCTCAGGGATTCAAATAGAGTACTGCTACCAGCTAAAACAAGAGATGAGTTTAATAACAAACTTAGATGCCTACCTTTAAATTACCTCATCTAAAAAAAAAACAAAATTTAGCAGCAACTGTTTTAACGATTTAAAAAAGGTCAGTTATATGAGTATCGACGTTATAACATTTCTTTCGGCTTGAGGAATTTTATGTCAGTCGATATTTTAAATACACAGAAATTACCGCCACACATGAAGAAACACAGCAGACCGAATTGTCCGATGGCAGAATCAGAATACGGATCAAGTAAAAGTAAATTTGTCTCTTCTTTTCAATCTTTAAGTACCTATTGAATATACATAGATATTTTCTTCTCCTTATACAAATTCCAAAACGTTTCTCTAGACAAATACAAAAACAATAATTTATAAACTCTCTTCTGATCTTGAAATGTACATAGGTATTACGCATGCTGCATCTGAGTCAAAGGATCCAATTAATGCTTTATGTCTTTGATCTAAAATATTCTCGGATTAAACCTCCTCGTTCCTAGAATATATTCCATTTCAAAGTGGCCTAATTTTACCTAATATAATCGGCACGCTCCAATTCATTTCACTGTTCAGTAAGGCCCAATTTAGACATGATTTGCTTTGGGTACGGGGTAAAGGATCGCTGCTCTCTGAAATTAAATACGAACCTTTTTTGAATAAGTGTGTTAACTTTAAGGTAAGACGAAATACTTAATTCAAATGAACATAAATGAATTTTCAATAAAACTGTTACTGTTTTTACGTCTCCTAAGAATTACGCCTACGTTTCGAAGCTTTGGATTTGGCAGATTTTTATTGCATGAAAACATGTTTGTCAAAATCATCATCTAATTAGATGATTATAAGAGAGATGTAAATAGAGAAATTTTCTTAAAAATACTTTTTTTTTAGGAAAGGTTAGTTATGGTTACACATACCTACCTGTTACGATGATCGTAAAATAAAATAGTTACAAGTATTTTACAATACACATTGTCGAGTTTTCCGGCACAAGGTCATAACCTTAGCTTACAACAGATACTTTACATATGCTTAGTAACTTAAATACACACAAAACAATGTTGTTTACCAGAGCCCCATTTGAAGAACTTGAGAAAATCCAGGTTTACAGGCATGATGAACAGCAATATGACACCCATTAAACAGGGTGATGAGACATAGATTTGACTGCAACAGTAAAATATAAGAAAACAATCTAACATCATTGCTGGTAATATTTGAGACTCGTAATATTGTAAACATGCAGTTAAAGAAATGAAGGTGTGTATCACAAACATTTCCCTCAACGTCTTTTCTCTTGGGTGCAGGATGAGGTGCGATTTAGAGTGACCAGCTTTAAACATCCTATGACTTTTCATGGGGATCTATTTAAACACAATAGATATGCCCCAAACGCTGCCTAGCGCTCTGTAACATGTAATCAGTTTAATCATCTACATAAATTAATAAGAAAACTTTTTGTAAGGTCACATAGATCGTTTTCAACAGCACTGTTACTTCTAGTAGTAGCATTTAAAAATAGTTACTCGTGATATCCTGCATCACCCTGGTGATCGATGCGGACGGTGCTGTCGATCGGTTGTAGAACCAAAGTCAGCATAACGACAGTCGCCACGGCCTAATATCAACAATATTTATTAATATAACTAATATAAATATATAACTTTACGCAGTTACATAATTGTTAAAAGGCTTTTAAAAGAACTAAACAGTAGAAATTATAATGAAATTCAAATATTTACACATCTTTTTTATAACTTTACACATCACACACATGGTGGCTTGAACCCAAACTAGGCTGAGCGTGTACTATAGTAACTAGACTGCTGATTAACAGACTTATATATTTCTAAATACATACGTATTATAGGTAAATTTACAGCCAGACAAAGAACAAATAATCGTGCTCATGACGTAATTTATTTGTCCTGCTTGGGAATTGAACCCACGACTTCAGGCTTCTGTTGGCAACAGACCAGTCATTTTAATTATTATTTTTATTAATCAATTAGAGTACACTCTAATTGATTGAGCTTTTTGTCGGTCTTTTCTCGAAAATTGAAGATCAGCGAGTAAGACCTCTAGAATTTTAAGGCTACGGCAAACGCTTGAAATTAGCAAGTAAATATACTAGGTGAAATGGTAGCTCTAACTTGCTACATATCAATTAAGTTTGTTTGAGCTAGGTTCTTCTCATTGGTTGAGTGGCAAAGTGGCCCTCATTTTCTATTGCTCAATTTTTTTTTATTTACTTTATTTTTGTACTTACAAATTCGTGAAATTTGATCTGCCCTAATTGGTGATACTGTGTCGCCAACAGCGTGTCAATGTACTGCGCCTCTTCTTCTGTCATTTGTAATGCTATTTCATTTTGATTTCTGAAAGAGATAATACGGTCCTATGGTTGTAAACATGCAGGGAGATACAGTTTGGCATGACCAGTCTTTAAAGTGATTTAGAACCTACACTACATCGCCTTAACACTAAAAAAATATATCATCATGATGAGTTTATAAGTACTTTTGATAAAGATTATAATATTTAACTATTTAAGTTTTACTTGAAATCGGCATTTGCTGGTGGGGGTAATAGTAATACCACAGAAGTTAAAGTATATTGTAATGGCAGATTAATTTAATATATGTTTGGAAAATTAGTTGGGTAGGTAAAAATAAATTTATTAGCATCTTTGTTTTGTAGCTATGTCAACAATCTCGAAAAACATTATTTCTACTTAAGAAGTATAAGAATACAATAGGCGGCTTTCTGACAATACCAACATAAATTTTATGTTACAACAAGATAGTTACGGCTGCTGTAGTAGAAACTTCTTCTACGTTCTTGAGTTTATTTTTTGGTGTCACGAGATTACAGTAGGTACCTAAGTTTATCTAAATCTGACATTAAAATATTATTGCCTCGTACAAACCGACGACCCCTATTTCCTTTTGTAGCCAATATTCGGAACAAAAGATGTGTATGAAACCTTCACCAGCCTTCTGAAGAAATATATCCAGTGACATAAAACTAGTAATTACTAACCAATATTTTCAAATAATTACTTTAAGGACTTTTCTATTTCATTTGCTCTGCCTTATTAGTCTGCTTATACGTATATAAGTACTTAAGTTAAAATAAACTTACCTAAACATTCCTAAAAAGTAGAAATTCATCCAGATGTATAACAAAGTCTCCATTATCAGCACTCCTGGCAAGTTCAACAGCATAAAATGGGGAAACTCTATTTTCGGCGCAGCAGGGAATATTCTTGAAAGAAAATCCACACTTTCTTTACCTGATTTGATTTTAATGTACCCACTTATTCGTTATAGTAGAGCTGCCGGTTGAAACTGTTTCGTTGCTATGGGTAACTTGGAGATGCTCTGGTCCATAAATGGGAGGACTGGCCAAAAGGTCATAAGGTCATTTGTATTAAAAGTATACTTTTATGACGTATGTCCATGTGAAATCCTATTTCAAGATTTCAATGCATCTGAATGCAAGACAGAGAGTTGTATGTATGGTACTATCATCATCTTTGCACTCTATAAATGAATAGGAAGCAACTATGTTGTGCATCGATACAAAGTTAATGTGTCAAACTGTAACACAATCAGTCCTCTGCCAAGACCTCCATTAACTGATGGTCTAGGTGGGTCTATTTCACATCAACTCGCTCTCGATGGCGAACGCGTTTGACGTTGCGATTAGTGCAGATTTAAATGCGGGCCAATCGCAACTCTGAACGCGGTCACCGTGACGATCAAGTTGATGGGAATTAAACTCACACTAGGCCCTCTGGTCATCTATGTTAAAACAATCTAATGTTATAGAGTAATATTAGTAATACTCCATTTTCAGGTTCCTTCACCTTCCCGTCACCTGGATAAACAAGAATATCACTTGATATTCTTGTCTATAAATGTAGGTCTCAATAGGTACTTACCTATTGAGAAATCTGAAGTAGAATTGGACAAAGGAAAGCTTTTCAACTTATTGTGCATTTGCCAACAGTGGTATTTATTTATATTTTGATTCATTGCTATATGCAATTTCATACTACATCTTGTTGACCTATGTATATTGGCTACACATATTACTGCAGTTCCCCACAGTAATTACTAAATAATAATTAATTAGTAGTAATAGTGTTTTCCTCTGTAATTTGCCGGAAGGATTTTAAATATTATGATTGATTGAATGTTGATTGTCCATTATATAAAATAGATACAAAGGTCTTGAAAGTGACTCACGTTTCACAATAAATCTTGAATATTTGATTAGTCTGAGTTCCCATTAAAGTAGCCATGTCACCTGTAAAATTTATTTATGTACATATATACATGGATTCGAACATACACCAGTGTATTATATACGGACACACCGTGCCTCGTGAAGTGTTCTTTAAAATAGGGTAGAGTACGAGCATTCTTAACACATCCAGATTGGTCTCAAATAATATCGAATGGCTGCGTTTATTACGGCCAAGGCCAATTATTTATTTGTTGACAAGGGATTGTCGATAACATTTAACAATTTTTTAGGGACTCGAGGCCAGTTTGCCGGGTTTTAAAATAAATATTTCTCATATTCTGATATTCTCTCTTTTATAGTTTCGCATTTTAATAAATAATAGTGAAATATCAGAAATAAAACTAATATAAGCTGTTTTACTATATTCACAAACGTGCTTGTTACAATAATGAAAATAAGTCCTTATCAATAAATCTCTCAATCTAAAGTAAGGACCGCTTAGTCACGGTACAATTATAATACAGTACTCCAACTTCATACAAACGGACGAAACGCGAGCTATACCTACGCGCCTCGATCTCGGGGTGCGCTCGGGGCGCAGACAGTCACGGCTGTACCGAAGTGTCGAACGGACGGTGTGTTGTTTTTTTTAACAATAACCGCGCGATTTTTTTTTCTCTAAAAATCAGTTAATATGACGAGAAGGAAATATTGTGCTGTTTTTGGTTTTTTGAATTCGTCAATAACGCATCCAGACATAAGGTTTTTTTAAATTACCTGGAAACTCTAAAGGAAAGAGGGAAAGGTAAGACTATAAAATAATTTTACTTACTAGTAGGTAGGTACATAATGTGTGTCTTTTTTTATGGATAAGTATTTCCTTTTATCTTACGAAAAAAAAGGTGTTTGGATTAATTAATAAAGCGAATAGAGTAACGGAAAGTTATTGAGACGAGTGAAATAGGTAGTTATATGAGGTTCTAAATGAATCGTGATACGGTAGGTACCTACCTACTTACGCTTGTGTTAAAACTTCGGTGCATGTGTGTTTTGTTACTTTGCATAATTCAAAGTAAAGACGTGGTATTTTATTTTTAATAATATTTGTTTATTATCTGTGTGTATGAATAATACTAGAAAAAAAAAATTACCGTCTGTGTGTCATTAGATAGTTTTCGAAATTTTCACAAAGTGTTTCTGCTGCTACTATAACAACATATACCACTAAAAACTCCTCCAATGCAGAAAGAAAATAAAATAATTAAATCTACCAATCAAAAAACAACACGCATTTTTATTGAACACTTCCTATTCAATATACAAAGTATTTCATTTATTTATATAAAAAGGATATTTACAATCACAAATCTAAATAGAAACAGAAAGTAGGCAAATATAATTAAAATGCTGGAGACGGGCAGCCCTAACGCATGTTTACGTACCGCGCGACTGTAGGCATTTATTTCTATCATGCGGCCGAGTTACACTACTGTATTATAATAGTACCGTGGCTTAGTTCTGTAGCTTGTACTATGGAATTATTAGCTGTACCAACTTCAGTAATGCCGGCCATAAGCTTGTTAAAATCATTAATTTAGTTCCAATAGCTAGTAGGAAGCAGTCGGTAGTAGGAAGATACGAAGTGGACTTGTGAGACAGTTTTAGAAATTTATCAATTTTATTAAATAAGACAGCGTAAAAGTGTAAGTACCCGAAGGAACTAAATTTAAATAAAAACGGTAATTGTTTTGATAATAAGTCATAAAAGAAAATTGAATACCTATTGATGAGGAATACGCAATGCCGAGGAAGTAAAATATGGTAAATTCGGAAGGCCGCGGTACTCTGCAACAAGATATATAAAATTACGTACTTTGTGGACTTTGTATATCATATAAAGATCTACAAAATTCTCAATAGTAGGTATATGTCTATCTCCTAGGGATAACCCACAGTAACCATTTTAAAAAAAATAATGAGTAGGTAATTTGCGAAGCTACGGCAAACAGGCCGTCGCCGCGTGCCTCGTGTCGTATACGTCACGTCTGTCCCGGCCTATAGATATTGCATAATAATATAAAGATGTAGTAGTCTTATCATAATAATAGTATATTTAATTATTCCAAACTTACACCACATTACTTGTATCTACAGTGCACTCGTGCGAAGCCGGTGCGGATCGCTAGTATTAATAGGTATAAGGCAATGTTCAAAAAGTCAACACGTTGTTCATGCTGGTTAGGCTGTATTTGTTTGTTATTGATGTACTAACACACTTGATACTTTTTGCCAGGGCTATATAGAAGGACTAGCTTTTTCCCGCGGCTCCACCTGCATGTCGTTTATCGCGTAAAAAGATTCCTCAAGAATCAAAGTCTCTCCATGCAAAATTTCATTAAAATCGGATGTAACAGACAGACACACAGATAGCCAGACAGACAGATACACTTTCGCATTATAATAGTAGTATGGATGTATGGATATTAGTATGGATGTAGGGCCCCTTTCATCTAGAACAAAAGTACTGATGTGTCTCGAGGGTTGAAAAAATCTCTTTTACACGAGTGAAGCCATTTGCAAAAGCTATTTTTCCATAAAATATTCTAGCACACATTAGATACGGTTAATGACAGGTGAATAATTCAATACTTTATTATTTTTAGAATATAATGTTCGTGTTACGGGCGTAATCTTATATTAGTTACGGGTCATTTCTCAAATAGAAATAATATGATCTTACGGCTACTGGATAAAAATACTCGTAAACATACTTTAGTAAACAATCTTTACCAACTTGCACTTCATTTTTACTTATACAAGGGAACAGATTTTTTTTTGTATATTTGGTAGATATGATAATTGGTCGTAAAGTTTTTTCACTCTCCTGCCCCGACCTCATTTTGTTTGATTGCGATTTTAGTATTTTTGAATGAACATATTTTTATATAGCCGAACAATGTTTGCCGATTCCTTTCATATTTATTTTATTTTATAGTGCCACGTGTGTAAGTCCAAATGGTTTTACTATTATGATATTATTAAGTTATTTTACTTATTGCACATGATTATATGACAATAATTTTTCTAATTTCGGCTAGAGTTCTCGTTAGAAAGAGTATGGCAATATTTCTTATAGTATCCTACAAAAAATCCTTTGTATTCTAGCCCAGAAGCCGTCAGTCTTTGCTTACGAATAATTTAGTCTTTTCTTTTCATTGGATTATAATAGAAATACCTATAGGTGTTGGTGGGTATAGAGGTACTCACCTATCTTCATGACGAATTGATATTTGTTGAGCTTTTCCGATAATCTGATAAATTTCTAGTATTCCCATCTGTAACATACAAAACTTTAATGTAGTTAGAGATGATTTCCGTTGCAAACTCCAGTTTCTTAAATTATTAAATGCATGTAAATCCCACAGATTGGTCTATTAATGAGCCTAGCGAGCGTTCAACGATTATACCTACTTTAATTAAAAAACTGTTAGTACCTACCTGATTACTACTGACTACATTTAAGAATGCGATGAAGATTGTGAATTGTATATTGAAGAAAAGATGTAAGTCAAGGAAAAACTGTAGGCAATAAAGAATATTATTAATAAAATTTTAATTGAATAAATACTTAAAATCAAATTAAGAATAATTTCTAAAAATATTATTTGTTCATCAATTAACAACTTTTTAATGTCTTTTGATAACTACAATTTTCAGAAAGTATTAAGTTTTTTAATGGACTGCATGATAGGGTGGAGTGGACCTAACTCTCTTACTCTATTCATTTGTGCCTACTCTGTCATAAACGATTTATTGTACAGAATATATCTTGGTACAAAATTAATTAGAAAAAAGGTACTCTAAGAATAAAATAGATAAAAAGATTAAATTTTCTACCTATACCTTCTCTAGTTCAGCGAGTATGGCTTTGACAAGAGGCATCATAAAGCCACAAGCCAGCACATTGGAGATCCACATCGAAAGGAACATTGTTGTGAAGAACAATAAAAAACTTAACCTGTAACATTGCATTTAACGTACGTTAACGTTAAAGTAGTTATTTAAAGTAAATACAATAAATCACATTATCACATCAACAGCGTTTAATAGTCCACTGCTGGATATGGGCCTCTCCTCCTTATTTCTAAAAATGAGGATTCGGCCTACTTTATCACGCTACCCAGACAGTTTGGTACAGGATTTGTATCAACTTTTCCTTCTCTTTTCAATGCTTTGTCCTGCGTATTTTGCTCCTTTAGTCGGCTCTTGCGATACCCATATGATGAATAGGGGTGGTGACACTCCGTATTCTTAATCCTTCACCGCACGGTTTTAAATGCAATAAATAAAGTGTATAAAAATGTAAGTGGTATACAGCATAAACAATAAAAACAATAAAATAAGTTTTTGTTTTTTTTTCTTGTTAATCTGTAATTAGTACTGTTACTATAGGTACACAAATGTTATCATCGTCATTTTCTTACTCCTTTCTAATAATGTTGAGGTAGGTAGGTACTAAATAACCCCAAAATACTAAGTTCCTGTGTTGGGTGTTACCTGTAGTATCTAAATGTTTTTTTCTACATTCGCAGAGTTAAAGAAACTAATATTAAAATATGTTTAAAAAGTGTTTGTAGCCTACTTGACGCAATATTTTTTTATTAAACTATTTTTGCACAACAGCACTATCATTACAGGTTTCACTGATGCAATGGAGTGGTAGTAACTTATTAGTCACATGTTAAATAAGTATTTAGAGACATTACATACTTACATTATTCGTTAATTCGTTATAATGGAAATATTCGTGAAATCTGTTGGTTATTCCTTACTAGCTGAACCGAAAGGGTTCATTGATGCTTGGCTTAAATACCCTTCCTTGACAAATAGGTTTTCCAACACTAAAGTAATTGGCCAATCCGAAATAGTAGTTCCTCAGATTGACACGTTCATCGAAACAAAGATACTCTTCAGCTTCATAATATTATATTAATTTGGATACAGGTAATTAAAAACAGTCTAACATTGTATCTAGTTCTAGTTTCGGGAGCGTTTCCTAATTACTCTTCTTAATTATATTATACTTTTACCGATAATGAGAACATCCGACGATGAGCAAAACTTTTAAGGCTATTCTTTTGTGGATGTTGCTATATTCAATAGCTATTATAAGCATCATAACTCCTATACAATCCAGTAGATCGTTGCTTATATACATCTGGAAAATTAAAAGTGACTTCACTTACTTACCTACTGTGTACAATTAGGTAGGTATAAATATTTTTGCATTGTAATAATATACATATGTCAATATCTATAAAATTATAATTATATTCATCTTCATACGTGTATTTCTTAGTGATTATGTTTTCATTTCATTATTTTTGTTACTTGACATTGAACTTTAAGCATTTCCAGTTGCCAATATCAGACAAGCTGTGTGTAATTAATGCTTTGTAGTTTTAGAAATTAATTAAATTAAAACCAAAAAACTGCCTTCACGTTGTTGAACGTAACCAATTAAAAATAAAGATGTGTTTGACATGGAAATAAGTTTCGAAAAAAAAGAAATCTCTTATTTCAGTCACACTTTTCGCTGTTTTTAGAGATGTACGTACAAACGTATATCTCTAAAAAAAGCTTACCTGTGTGACACATCTTTGTGTAGGTTTGCCTACAATCCTTCCATTTGAGGTTTTTTAACATATCATGTCATGGCGATTGTCTGAGGAATGTGACAAATATGTAGCATAAATAATAATTTAACCGTAATCATGACGAAATGCGAAATTGTGTAGGCTGTTGTTCGGTTTCAAAAATACAGTGTTACTTAAATATTTGTAATAAGAATACGCTTTATATGTAGTTTTATACCACACAATAAAAATACAAAACTTATGATGGGAATAACTTGGCAACATATTTAAGCTATATTAGAGAAATAACCGAGATGAAAAACCTGTGAATAACGAATAACTTGTACTTACTTCTCGTATGAAACTTCTATCTATGCCCCCCAGAACTGAGGATATAGGTATGGATGCTATAGCTATGACAGCAGGGTGTAATACATCAGCAGACAAATATACAATCATTAATAAGAAAACGTAGAAACCTATGTACGCCTGAAATAAATACTATTCTTGTAATTTACTTGTAGGTATGTTATTTCTAAATAAGACTCATTTAATCGTAAGTACGTAATCCTACGTGTCAGTATTTCACAAACATACACTTTATATTTCTAAACAGATACATTTTGATAGTTTAGGACTACACACATTATATATTTAGGACAGAATATTTTGTGTTTTCATACAATGTAAAAAGCTGTCTATGATAATATACACATGAACCGAGTTTGTAAATTTCATTAGCACGATGAGAACCATTTCTGGTCTATTCTGTTTAAAATAATTTACGGTCCAGAGGTGTTCTGCTAGAAATCAAACTAAACTTTCTTTATGCCTATAAGCCTAAGAATAAACCTCGATATTGAATCAGTTATAGTTTAAAATATCGGAATTCATCCGGTGAAATTTGATATTACAAATAAATCTTAAAAACTCTACTTTATTCAAAATATTATTCGAAAAGTACTTACATTATTATACTTAATAAATATTATGGGTGATAATATAATTGGTACGAGTAGTATGATTATAGATCTCCAATATAATTTGTAGAATAATTTAAAACGATCTCTTCGTGTTATTATAACAAGATTTGTCTCTCTGTGGAATATTCAAAAATATATTTTTATGTGATTATACACGTAATATTGCAATTGACGCGCAATGCCTTGTGATTAATTTATACAGAGATGTGAATTATACATGTACCTACTAGCTTTTACCCACGGCTTCGCTCTCGTAAATGTCAATTTTGACAATAAATTTGGCCGGGGTAAATATTAGGCTTTGTGTTAATCTAGACCCGAGATGCACAGACCGCGGCCCGCCGGCCGAATACTGGTGGCCCGCCGACAGCAATAATAATACTCTCGTACATTCGAAAAATATTGAATTCTATTCCAGAATAAAACCAAAAAAAAATATGTTCGAAAAGTAATTTGAATCTCGCGCGCGCGCTCTTAAGTGCGCTTATCGGTGCGCCGTGCATGCGTCGGTAATAGCGGTCGGTAATGTTCGTGCTGATCTCGGTTTAATCGATCGTTTTCTTGAGGAAGCGCCGCCAGACCCTTTTGAATGAAATGTAAACCGTTTATAGGGGACAGAGCCCTAGTAAATCAATGATTTACAAGTGGCATGGTCTTTTTAAACATGGTCGGCCGTCGATTGAAAACGACCCCCGCTCAGGAAGGCCAGTTGAGGCCACTATATCAGACATCGTCGAAAAAGTAGAAAAAATTGCACTGGAGGACACCCTTTTTTTTACAGAAAAAACAGTTATCTGCATTAGTTGGAGTATCAGATACCACCATTTTGCGAATCCTACATGACCACCTGGGTATGACAAAAGTCAGTGCAAGATGGGTACCGAAAATGCTCACGCCGCATCATAAACAACAGACGTGTGGAGACGGACCTGCACAGATTTTGTAGCGGATTGTCTCCGGAGATGAAACATGGGTTCATCACTTTGAGCCTGAGTCCAAACAATGCAATGGCATAAAAAGGGTAACCCACCGCTAAAGAAATTCAAAGTGTCGGAGTCGGCTGGAAAGTTGATGGCTACTGTTTTTTGCCGTGATTGCTACTGAACGGATGGCGTAGTGGTTAAAGCGGTCGCCACGCCGCTTCCTACTACACCGAGTGTTGTGGGCCAAGCCCCACGTGGCACGACACTTTGTGTAATCCACAATTTGTGTTTTGAGTCTGGGTGTTCTTTGTGTCCGTTTCATGTATGTTTGTAAAGTCCCCGCGACTGTCGCGACACAGGATATATTCCTAATGCGGCAGTTGTCTTTTCTAAACAAAAAAAAACTTTTTAAACTAAAACTTTTGAGATTGTGAGGCGATAATACTCATTGATTACAAAAAAAAGGGAAGGACTGAGAATACAGATAGATAGATACAAGAGAAATTAAAGGAGGCTATCAAAGAAAAACGTCGAGGAAAATTAACCAAGGGTGTGTTGCTCTTGCCAGACAACGCGCCGGTTCACAAGAGCAGAGTTGCAATGGCTGCTGTGCAGAAGCATAGCTTCGAAACTCTGGTCCACCTACCCTAGAGTCCAGATCTGGCTCCAAGTGATTTTTATTTGTTCACCAATTTAAAAAAGACTTAAGGAGAAGGAAATTTTCCAACGACAATGAGGTAAAGGAGGCAATTTCAGTTCATTTTCAAGTTCAGTTTAGAAAAATTAATTTATAGATCTAATAAATGTATTCAGCTTAAGGGTGATTATATTGAAAAGAAAAATAGATTTATTGTTTCATTTTATTTAAAACCCTTTCATTCCACGAACTTTTGGACCTCCCCTCGTAGATATAGGTTTTTACTTATTATCTGACAGATACATATACATAGTTTAAAAAAAATAGATTTAAGATTCTTATACTATACTTACGAGGAATCAGAATCCATCATCAGTCTTTTATGAATATTGTCCTTAAATTAGGTCACCCGTCTTTTAAATGCTATTAATGTCTTAGGAAATTATAAGTAAAAGGTAAATCTTTAAACTAATCTCGATGGTTGGAGTAATAAAAACAGATGTCATAATGACTGTTAGTCAATAAACCTTCACATTTCAACATTACGAAGAATTTCTACTAAACGTTTAATAGTAGAATTCAGCGCCGAAGTGGCAACATTGGTATTGACCTATCAATGAAATTGCTAATTTTTTTTTCTTTAGTTGTCAAATCATAGCGTTTGTGTCTGGTCGTGTGTCGGGCTTTTAACAGATTCGTTAAAAATTACGATAAATAATTATTTATTCTAAACTAAATCATGTCTGTGGAATTGGAATTCGATTATGCTGAAGCAACAGCGGCTATGGATAAATTTTCGCAAGAAGATATCAATGAACTGCGTTATTGGACCCAAGCATTGGATAAATCAAAATATGTGCCAAAGGATTTAACAGACAAGCAATTATTGTTATTTTATAATGCATGTTACGGAGACATGGACAAAACTAAAGTCTGTATTGAAAAATATTATAACACCAGAAAGAACGGACCAGAATTATTCGATCATCGAGTTCTTAAAACAGAAGAATTAAGATCTGCAGCAGAAGTTTTGTAAGTAGAGACCTACTTAGTTTTAACACACACACACTAATACTCAAACTAAATGAATGATCATGATATTACTACATTTTTGTATATATATATTTTTTTCTTAAAATTCTAGGTTTTTTTAAAATATGAAATAATAATATAAAATAAAAAGACTCGAATTTAAAATTTCTATTCATTAAAAAATATGTAAATAACTCATTAAAATTCATCAAAGTTTATCTGGCATCAGCAATAAAAAAATATAGTTATAATAATAATATAGACATAAAATAAACTTATCAATATAATATTATGTTAGTGATCCTACCTATTTTAAAGTATTTATTCTTTTACTTCAATGTTCAGTTTATAAAAAAGAGAATTTTGAGCAAATTCCAAAAATAGTATTAAATTAGATATTTTACTTCGACTACCTTATTCCTGGGTTTGGAATTTATGACATTAGTTAAAACCTTTTAACAATATTCTTTTTTTGGTTGAAAATAGCCTTTTTGTACCCCTGACAATTTGTATGCATTTCATAATTATTACTTTAACAAATAGTTTGTTTACATTTTAATATTATAAGGTAAGTTAGGATACAAAACAAAATTAAAAAAATGAATATTACGAATAAGACAGAGATCACATTTTGAAATAGGCTTTCAAATTATATGCTGTGTAATATATTAATTTTAATCTGCAGTCTCCATATTATTGGTTTTGAAGTAAAAGAGAATGAAGCCTCCTATGCTTGATTAGTTGGCTGTCTAAACCCAAACTAGGCATAGCCTGTACCACCTTAACCAGACTGCTAATAAACATAGTTACATATTCCTAAATACATACATACATATATTAGATAAATTAAACCCAGATACAGAACAAAATAAAAGATTGTGCTCCCCAGAAAATTATTTGTCCTGGGTGGGAATTGAACCCACAATGTGTGGTAAGCATTCAGGTTCACTTACCACTAGACTAACAGACCCATATTATGACCTTACCTATTATAATTGTCAGGGAAAGTATCCATTACTTTTCCCCATGTAGGCATTCAAATATGAAATGAATTCCTAACAATGTTATTTACATAAGGGTATTTTTTTTTTTTTTTTTTTTTTTTTTTTTTTTTTTATGTCCAGCAGTGGACTATTAAAGGCTGTTGATGATGATGATGATGATGATAATTTTACAAAGTTGATAACACCTCAATGAGAGCTTTGGTGTCCATCCAAAAATGTCTTAGAAAATGAGATGACCTTGGCGTCAACTTTCCCCCTTTTGCCATCTTTTCCGATCTACATACCAATTTACATTTACTAAATTTTTTACATCGTCTTTTTTCACGTTTTGTTTCTTGTTTTTATGTCGATTTCATTTTAGGAATTTGGCATTGAAATCAATCATGTGTCCGTTTCCTTTTTTATAATGACTAGTGATTGTCGTTTTTTTTAACATACCTCATTAAGTTTTAATTTCTTTATGGTATGATTTTTGATAGGAAACTTCAAACATGGCTAGAAACAGCGAAATCGAAATCTTATTTGCTTAAAAGTTATCTGTTTAATTAAAGGGCCCTTATGACTTGTCTTTATTAGTTTGGGTGACCAAAACTTTCTTTACGATTGCCGTCATTCAATTCAACCTGATCACTTTGAAGTGTAACAGTATGCCATAAAATTATCCCTTTTAGCAATAGCAATTATTATTATGGCCCTCTGTTAACCATGCTTTGACGTCACTGGAACTAATGTACGATGTAACGACTTTAGAAGTAACATTGGCTTATTTAAAATTGGCTTATAGGGCACAACTTTGTTTGCTTGACTTTTCTTGGTCGTAGCGTCATATTATATAGCCTAAAGCCTTCCTCGATAAATGAATTATCCAACACTAAAGGAATTTTTCAATTGTAGTTTCTGATATTAGCACGTTCAACCAAAACTCTCTCATTAAACGCATACATTATGATACGGGCTTTATTATTAGCTGAAACGTGGACACTTACGGTACGGCTGGTCCACAAGTTCAAAGTCGCTCAACGTGCTATGGAAAGGGCTATGCTCGGCGTTTCTCTAAGGGATCGCATCAGAAATGAGGTGATCCGGCAGAGAACTAAGGTCACCGACATAGCGTACCGGATCAGCAAGTTGAAGTGGCAGTGGGCTGGCCATATTAGCCGCAGAACCGATAACCGTTGGGGAAAACGAGTTCTTGAGTGGAGACCGCGTCTCGGCAAACGTAGTGTAGGACGCCCACAGGCCAGGTGGAGTGACGATTTGCGCAAGATGGCTGGCAGGAGCTGGATGCGAGAAGCCCAAAATCGATCTAAGTGGCGTGCAATGGGAGAGGCCTATGTCCAGCAGTGGACTGCGATAGGCTGATGATGATGATGATGATGATGATGATGATACGGGAGAGTGGGTAACGGTGAATCACAGGATACAGTCGATGGGCTCCCCCTATCTGGCAGAATCTTGATGCTCCGAAATTTATTCCGCATAACACACAACACGCATAAAAATTATTTAGTGTAATTATTATTTGACCGAATGTTTATATGTCCGTATTAACGATGGCATACTTATAAGATGGCATAATTTTATTTAGCATAGTTACCTTTGGCGGAGTAAAAGTTGCGCGTTATTTCGTTTAGCATAACATTTATTTAGAGCGACGATTAGTTGATACAATTTAATTTGGAATAATTTAATTAGGCATATTGACATAAAAAAGCATTTTTAACCTTAAATTTAATTGTTTTCTTAAAAAGTCATATGTTTTCCTCCAAATGTTTATGTAAGAAACGAATCGCTGCAAAACCGCCTCCACGTAGTCTTGTCTGCCCTACCTACTAGAGTGTAATTTAAGCCCGCGGAGGGGCGAGGCGGACTGCGAGCTGAGGAGGAGGTGGTTTCAACGCTCGCCGCCGCGGCTGAGGCTGGCCGTCGCTGCCGGCCACCAACTCGAAGCTGCAGCGAATGCTCCTAGGCCCTGACTGCTAATCCGCAGGTCGTGGGTTCGATTCCCACCCTCAACAAATAATTTTGTGATGATAACGATCGTTAGTTCTGTGTCTGGGTGGGTTGTATTTATTGTATAATATGTATGTATGTAGAAATATTTAAGTATGTTTATCAGTAGGTTGGTTACCATAGCACAGGCTCTACCTAGTTTGGAATCAAATTGCCGTGTGTGAGATACGTGAAGGTTTTCTTATTATTAGTCTTTGAAACCATTTGCTCTTGGAACCAGTTTTTTGTGTACGAGTTCATTCAAAAACTTATCAACATAATTTACAAGGCATTGTTAACGTATTTTAGATAATGCTAATTGAGTAATTTTAATTAGTAATATGTACGTATTGTGGTCGTGCTATCTTCTCTTCTGGTAAGGTATTTAGTCTTAACTGATCTATCAAAATCATGAGTTCTAAACTCTTATAGACTGCCATGTGTGAGATGTGTCATTCCGCTTCCACGCCTTGACCAAATTTTGCATACCCTTCACCTGGGGCACAGAAAAAACTGTAGGCTAACTTTCTTTCAAACTTTTACGAGGATAAAACCACGAACGAGAAACAGTAATTTCATAGATTAAAATCTTATTTGTTTTAGTTACTTTATATTGTCGTAGAGTCGTTGCGAGAGAAAAATGAGGTTGTAAATATTTCCAGCTATAAAATTGGTGTTATTTTTATTTTAACCCTCTACACAAATATAATTAATGCAAATAACACGTTGTCGGGGGTGTTTAGAGGCAAAGGTAGTTTGCCTAAAGGATAGAAAAATAACTATAACGTCAACGAAGCCGAGTAATATAAAAATTTCTGTTGTAATTGTTTATGTTTTATACATGAATGTGCGAAGTGTGTGTTGAAAATGCAATACAGGTTGCTTAATGCACATTTGTTGCTAAATCAAACTTCTGGGTGAATATATAAAATATTTTTTTTTTTCTTTTTTACTTTATTGTACACAGCTGTGATTTTAGCTCCATATAACAGTTACCACCAGCATATAACAGTCCACTGCTGGACATATTATTATGCCTCTCCTTAGAAAGAAACTATACCACGATGACCAGACGGGTTGATGCAGAGTTTGTTTCAAGTTTTCCTTCTCTTTGCAGTGCGTAGTTTGCTCCCATAGCTGGCTCAAAAAATACTCATGGGATGAATGGGGGTGGTAACAATCCCTAATCTTAATTCGTCACCACACCGTTACGCTATTTTGATGTTTTGACGAGACTATATGGAGCTCATCATCTCATGTAGAGCCTTAACTCTATAAGCCCTAACTTCACAAACTTTACACCTTAGTCAAAATATTTGAAAACTTTTGACAGTGCGAGCTATATGGTCTTGTCTTGGCTTCACTCCTTGTAAGTTGCTTATAATATCTTATTTATAACAAGGAGTCCATATTATATCAATTTTCAGATCTCTAGCATCAAACATGCGAAAGTCTCATAAAAACTTCCATCCCCTAGTTTAAGGGGTTACGAAGTAAAAGTTTCAAGTTTTACATTTTTTTTTGTTGCTTGAGGTACTATAACTAGCTTAGATAGCAAAATTTTTTTAGGACTTCAGGAAGTACCCTTTTTTTTGTCTGTGCGGAAATCCCACGCCGTCTCGGGTACCAGTAGCCGGGGAACTAGGGTGTACCCTAGGAAGGAAATCCCTGGAACCCCGACGGATCCCGGTTTGTGGGAACCACGATGTTCCACAGCGAGTCGCACCGCCTACTCGGCCTGCTTCTGCTAGGGTGACAGATGGCCTCACCTGTAACCCCCGGGCCTGCGCTTATGGAGGACGGAGTACCCTAAGAATTTTGATGATCAGTAAGATAGTGTCGAAATCGGGGTCTTTTAGTTATCAATAAAATCTAAAGTATAATAGCTATGTTATTAAAACTTTATACCTATGTTTAATTAGTCCACTATTGACATCATATCCTGAAAATTTGTTTATCTGGTATCCAAACCCAAGTTATGAGGGTTAAAAAAACGACGAAGCA